GATCCTATGGTGCCCTGAGGCTGGTGTTGGTTAGATGCCGACAGACTGTCTACCCACTGCTGGTACTCTTGCGCCATGGGCTCATGGCCTGGACGCCTCCTCATGGCGACCGCTTGGTGCGAGTTGGGCCACGCCCTTCTCCTTGATAGGATCCAGAAAACCAATCCGCAGGAGTCAGTGAACTGACCATGTCCTAGCCCTTTGACTTTCGGATGTAAATTTAATCGAACGCTTTGGCTCAGGACCCGAGTGCATATCCTGTCGGGTGTAGACACCCTGCCAGTATCCTAGTCCATCATCTTCGGAGGTTTGGACTTGGTCGATGGCCCACTTCCCGTAAAACCTAGCTATAGGAAACAATAGGTTTACGGGTATTAAGCTCACCGCTCTATTGACGTAGTGCACGAACACCATACAGTGTTTTGACGACGGGAGGGCACCTCCAGGTGATCAATGGTGTGATACTGCCTACCTCAAACCAGGCAGCCCCTGGTCAAATTGGAGCAAACCCGCCAAAACCCACCTGCATCTTGCCGTGGTCGCAGGTGAATATCCGACTACGGTCGCAAAACATATGAATCGTTCCAGTACCACATAGGCTGCGTGCGACTTACCTCAAGCAGATCCCAATCTGTCTCTGCAATCACATTCCCGAGCTGGATCTACTCATCACTGCTTTTTGGGTCAGGCTATTGAGCAAAAGGCTCTGGGCTGGGTCACTCAAGCAAAGCTTTGAAGAATAACCGCCACCTCGCGTGCGAATGCCCACCCATACAATCGTATGCTTGCGCGCAAAGCACTCAGCATCGGGTGCTGGAACGTGCGCAAACTCCTGGACCGAGACACTAGTGCGCGCCCGGAGCGACGCACTGCACTCGTCGCGATGGAACTGGTGCGCTACAACATTGCTATTGCGGAGCTCAGTGAAACCCGGATCGCTGAGCAAGCTAAGTTGCATGAAGCAGCTGCTGTCTACCACCATGCGAACTTGGAGTCGGTAGCCTCCGTGGCTAGATCGTGGGTGAACCGACAGGCATCAGCGCGCGACTAATGACTGTCCGCCTACGACTCGGAAACGGTAAGTGTGCCACTATTATTAACACGTACGGTCCGACCATGTGTTATCCTGATGATATGCGTGCTCAATTCTACACTGCTATCTTCCGTGATACGGTCTGTGCCGAGAAAGGACTGACTACTTCTGCTGGGTGATTTCAATGCGCGCGTTGAGCGTGGTGCATCAGTGTGGACAGAGGTTATCGGTCCGCATCGCATTGGTTCAGCGAATGCAAACGGTGACAGGCTGCTCTCATTGTGTGCCACTCACTCCCTGACGCTCGCGAACACTCGGTTTGCGCTGAGTGCGAGTGATAGAGTAACTTGGACACACCCACGGAGTGGTCACGCTCACCTTCCCAACTATGTCATCGTACGTCAGCGTGATATGCATGAAGTGCGCATGGCACGTGTACTGCGTGGAGCTGAGTGTGGCACTGATCACAAATTGGTGCGGAGCGAACTGTACATATATATTCGTAAATATATGTATTGCACTCCCGCCATGAATCGGCGTAAATTTTAACATTCTCTGCCTCGGTACTGTGGCAAAACGTATTGAGCTGGAGTAGGTGATGGATGCACGACTGTGTGATGTGGAATGAAAAGTCACAATGGGCGACCTGTGGCACCACATTCGCGACTAGGTGATAGCTACTGCCGAGGAGAGCATCTGGCGCGCACACTGTAAGTGGCCTGATCGGTTTGGTGAGAACAAGGCGACGATTGGTGTCGGAGAAGATTGAATCACATTTAACAGACCCCGGTGACTTGGGGAAGAATATACAGTTTCTCAAACTTCGACGGCGACTGACTCGTGAGCTCCGTCGCATTAAAAGTTTATTGTGCAGGGAGAAGGCGAAGTAGATGGAATGCTACGCCGAATGCGGCCAACACAAGGAATTCTTAGATTT